GACAAAACCTTTTTACAATGGTTTCTGGCGATAGTGAACAGATGTCTGTTTTCTGGAGAATTGTTTTGCTGATAGATATGGAAGTAACGGTTTCGATTAGAAATTGCTGCAGCGCAATGTGAGGAAAACCAAGGAGAAGAGTGAGGCTTGACCTGGAATCGTCGAGAGGGAATAAAAGATTCCATGCCAGCCTGAATCCACGAAGTTATGTAAGAAGCACATTTGTCAGCAGGAAGACGAAAGATTTCTACCCAAGGGCCATCACGAAGAAAATCACGGAAAGAGTCCCAGTCAGCTTTAAGGTAGTTGTATGTGGTACGATGATAGGGGGATTCTGATGAAGTAGAAGAATTTGATAATAGTTTTAGAGAGATCAAACCGTGATCAGAAGTACCTAAGGGTGAATGTGGAGAAATTGAGCACTGACTAGGAGCCAAAACAAGACATAAGTCGAGTAGAGAAGGTAAATGATTAGGGTTGTCTGGAAAACGAGTTGGAAAGTTGACTATTTGAGTTAGAGATTGAGAAAGGCAAAAGTTGAGGGCCTTAACGCCAGCAGAGTCACTGACACTAGAGCCAAGCCAATCGGTGTGATGGGCATTAAAGTCACCAACAACGACGATATTGGCCGATGGATAAAGAGAGAGGGCTTGGTCAATTTGATCAGAAATAACATCAAGAATAGTGCAGTCTTGGGATGAAGGAGAGCGATATAGAACAAAGAGAAAGGCGATAGAGTGAAGTTGTGCTAAACGAAAGCACATAAATGAATAGTCTGTAGATTCAAACCTAGTTTCACGACAAATGGGTGAGTTCTTACGAATGTAGATGCCCAGGCCAAGCATGTGATTATTGGAGTCTTTACAAATTAAAGGAAGATAACCATCAACACTAAGATCACAAGATGGGACAGCCGAACTCAAATTAGTCTCACAAAGAGCAAGTAGGTCTGGTGAACTTTGCAAGAGATAAGACTCAACAGAAGAAAAGTTACTTCGAAGACCACGAATATTAGTAAATGATAGGTTTAGAGAACTTGGTGATGACAATGGTTTTTTGTGTTTTTTAGTTTTAGGTACTTTAGTCATTTTAAATTTATAAAGAACTTGACTCAAGTATAGATAGTACTCAGTACACTATTTAACAACTAAGCAATAGCCTCATTACTATTAATAAACCCTAAGCCGAAACAAAGGGCTCCAAATGTGGCCTCTGCAATGCACACCAAAAGTACAAACAGGGACACCATCCATGCGCAACATGGCACTGTTAGTACTCTGATATTTTTCGGCTGTTGATGGAATCAGCCTCTCTGAGAGCTACCACAGAGTTCGGGAAACCTGACTACCAGCCGGCCTCAGAACCATAAAACTGAGTTTTAGAGCTGTACCCTCATTAGGAGATAATAGAATGAGTTGCCCAGTCATAAAAACAGAGACACAAGCAATACCCACGCATTGAGTCAAGAAGATCCAGCGTTCAACATCCTAAACTGGAAACAATGTATTAAAAATACATCTGCGCCAGCCTAATAGATGAGGAAGGGGTGCGAGGCTGGTCAACAGATAGAATCTGTTTACCCCTTAAGTCTTTGCCTAGGAGGCCTTCTACAAGACAGCAGCTGGATGCATGTAACATCTGCCCAAGATGAGTATTTTTATCGAGACACTATCTCTAGCCTTTACTCAACCAAGAGCCCCAAGGCAGGGGGTGTTTTAATTCGGAGTTAACTTCTCCTAGCCTTTGCCTTAAAAAAGCGTATCCTACAAGGCAGCAGGACATGGAGGACATATATATATATATATATATATATATATATGTATATATATATATACATATATACAGGACATATATATATATATATATATATGTATATATATATATACATATATACAGGACATATATATATATATATATATATATATATATATATATATATATATATATATATATATATATATATATATATATACATATATATATATATATATATATATATATATATATATATATATATATATATATATATATTTATCCTAGCTTTCCTGATCTATGAAATGCAGTCCACACCAATCATTTCTATATCTATTCCTTTTTTACTTCTTAGTTACTTTTTAGTTTTTTTTAGTAAAATGATTTATTCTAAAAATGGCTTTAAGAGCAAAAAAATTAACATGCACACCTTTTCCACATACCTAAAGCTTATAAGTGACATATAATTAGCTCTTTTTTTTTCTCTAAACGAATATCATTGATAGCTCAGTGATTTAGTGTGCCATCATTAGTGTCATTTTAGGGAGTTTGAGGCCTCTCCTTAGCGTAATTTTTCCAACCTTATATATTTATAGCAAAAAAATAATTATATAGCAAAAAAGATTTCTAATTGTTAAAATAAAATTTTAATGTTTCCTAATTTTGTAGATATATTATACACTTTGTTTTGTATAATATCTACAAAATGAGAATTATTAAAATAAGTCAAAAAATATGTTGAGTTTGCTGGCAGTATATAGATTGTTCCATATACTGCAAGCATTGTTTGCATAAGTTAGATACTTGTATCTTTAATGTTCATCACACTAAATGGCTTGGCTCTTGTCAGTGACTCTGCAGACATTTAGGACCACAATTTTTGCCTTTCTCAATCTCTAACACAAATAGTGAACTTAACAACTTGCTTTACAACACCAGACAATCTAAATCATTTAGATTCTCTACTCAACTTATATCTTGCTACTGATCCTAGTCAGTGCTGGAAACCAAATGGTTTCCAAAAAAGATTGAATGTAAGAGTTAATTCTAGATAACTCATTGAGTACATTACCATTCATAAATGGAAGGAATAGGAAGATCTAGATTATTGTGTTAATGATTAGCTGAGTTTGATCTGAAAGTAAGTTAGGTTCATTATTCAAGATTAAGTATTTGTTAATTAAAGACTTAAAAACTTTGCTTATGATGGCAAGAAGACTAATGGGACATTAGGGTGAATGTGAAGAAAATGAGCACTGACTAGGATCAGTAGCAAGATATAAGTTGAGTAGAGAATCTAAATGATTTAGATTGTCTGGTGTTGTAAAGCAAGTTGTTAAGTTCACTATTTGTGTTAGAGATTGAGAAAGGCAAAAATTGTGGTCCTAAATGTCTGCAGAGTCACTGACAAGAGCCAAGCCATTTAGTGTGATGAACATTAAAGATACAAGTATCTAACTTATGCAAACAATGCTTGCAGTATATGGGACAATCTATATACTGCCAGCAAACTCAACATATTTTTTGACTTATTTTAATAATTCTCATTTTGTAGATATTATACAAAACAAAGTGTATAATATATCTACAAAATTAGAAAACATTACATTTTTTTGCTCTTAAAGCCATTTTTAGAATAAATCATTTTACTAAAAAAAACTAAAAAGTAACTAAGAAGTAAAAAAGGAATAGGTATAGAAATGATTGGTGTGGACTGCATTTCATAGATCAGGAAAGCTAGGATATATATATATATATATATATATATATATATATATATATATATATATATATATATATATATATATAAATATATATATATATATATATATATATATATATATAATATATATATATATATATATATATATATATACATATATATATATATATATATGTATATATATATTTATATATATATATATATATATATATATATATATATATATATATATATATATATATATATATATATATATATATATATATATATATATATATATATATATATATATATATATATATATATATATATGTATATATATATATATATATATATATAAGGGAAAAGTTTATAAAAGGTTAGATTTGAAAAGAATTACAAAGACCCGTATTTTTAAGGGTCCGGTCAGCTAGTGTATTACAAATACATCTACGCCAACCTAATAGATAAATAAGGAGTATGATGGGTATTTCATAAAAAGGTCATGTCTGAAAAAAAAAGAACTCTAGCTAATTATCTGCCCAGACCATGATTTGATAAATGGTTTCCAAAAAAGATTGAATGTCTTCAATCTTTTTTGGAAAAAATCCATTGCAAAATTAGCATCTATTAAGGTTACATCTCTTAGCCATGCTTACCCCTTTCTTACTCAAAATTCTATTTTTTATCTCTGTAAATCCAAAACTTTGTATAAAATACTGTGGTGTTATCTGGAGCGCATCTTTCTTAGATAAGATGCAAAAACAAACTGTAAACATAAATGGACATGCTCTTGCAGTCAACCTCCAACCATTGTCATATTGTCTTAATGTTACTTCTCTTTCTTTTTTTTATATACACTATAATGGGAGCTGCTCTAAAGAGCTAGAGACTTTGGTGCCATCTGCTAAAATTTATTATCATATTACTTGTTATTTTACTGTGACTGTTCCTAAATGCTTCTAAAATTCTTTTTCGTCTACTTTTTTTCCTAAAACACCTGTTCTTTGGAATTCACTCCCTACATCTTGTTGTTCTGATTCATTTAATTTGTTTATTAATATCTGTTTATTGTTACCTTGCTTTATAAACTTTATCTTTTCGCTTCAAGTAACTTCTAACTCTAATAGTAGTTGCTTGCAGCCTTGTTGGAAGTGAAGAAGTTTAAAAGAAAAAAAATTCAACATCAAACAACTACCAATATCAAACTGTGTGGTCAAGATTTTGTTTAAGAATTATTTTATGGTGATACCAAATCAAATAAGGGATAGAAATAGAACATTACACTATTTTTGTAAAATGATAATAAATAAATTTGAAAAAATAATTTTGAAAAAAGATATCAATGTAACAACAAGCTTAATGAAAATACCAAAAAATATAATATAAATAATATATAAAAATATAAAATATAATATATAAAAAAGTAATATATAAAAATATAAAACATAATATATAAAAAATATAATATACAAAAAAATATAATATATAAAAATATATATATAATATATAAAAATATAATAAATACAAATATAAAAAAAAATACCTTTGGTGCAAAAACAAGTAAAAGTGTAAGTGTATTGCAAACAATTACGCAGACTGAAAATAATAAATATCCAATCTGAAAATAGTATGTTCGTTGAATAGCAGCTGTACCAACATTCGCAATAACAGATAATACAGCAACATTATAAACTGCCATACCTGTAATTATTTCAAGAAATGAACTATTAGAACTCGAAAAACACCTAATTGTATTTTTTAAGTAATTTAGGTTTCAGTATATAAATCAAATATCTATGATATATGTTTTCAAAAAAGAGTAGTACTGTGAAGATAAAATCTCATCTTATCCCTGATATTATTGCTTTTAACTTCAAACGCATAAAGGATTTTATTTGTCAAGACTTGTATTTCAGACTTTAGGGTAAGACTAAGAGAGAGAGAGAAAGAGTGGGAAAAAAAAAACAAATAGACTTCTTAACTGTATTGGGCCCCTAGAATAGACAAAGGATTTCATTAATGCTAACTTTTAAAATGGTTAACACACAAATTTAATGTGAGAAAACAAAGGATTTCATTAATGTCAACTTTTAAAATGGTTAACACACAAATTTAATGTGAGAAAACTCAAGTCCCCTAATAGATTTGTTATGATTATTAGGGAACACAGATTTATTTTTCTACCTATTCAATATCTGCAAAATTTGTTTGTCTGCAAAGATTTGTGTTAATAAGTTAAATAAGTTGTGCAAGAGTTATGCAAGAGTTGTAAAAAATAATTTGTCAAATTTAGTTTTCATTCCTCTCAGTGAGAGGAATGAAAACTAAATTTGATCAAAAAAAAGGAAAGATATTTTGAATCAGATCAGAAAACTACTTAAAAAAAATAAAATAAAACACTTCAGTTCAACTTTAAAATTTTACCTATATTTTTTGAATCATTAATTACAGCTATTTTGATGTTTCTAGTTTCCCATGCCATAAATAAGCCAAATATAAGAAGAAATCCTTTGTAAACATATATAGCAACAAAATAATGATACTGGTAGTTGCACTTGCAGCGATAAACTTTAGGAACAATAACAATATCTTCTGCACTATTTATCTAAACATTATATGACAAAACTCAAAAAAATTGTAATGTTATTTGCAATGAATTTTATGAACTCAAGTGGCAAAAAAATATCATATTTTCATATCATAAATTATCATATTTTAAAAAAGTATAAAAATTAATAAAAAAAAAGAAAAAGAAAATAAGATTAATAATTTACAAGTTTTCACATTTTTTAAACAAACTTGGTTGCTGCTTTAGATAAAATCCAATGCTTATTTTACTGTTGCATGTGCACAGAAATTTGGAAAAAGGTGTCAGAAATTTGAAAAGCAATTCATAAACATAAAAAAAGTTAATTAAACATTACCTAACTTAAATAGATAATTTCCATAATGATTTCAGATGACTAAAATTTTTTAATAAAAACATTTAAAATAAAGAGCCTGAAAGTTGCTGTGATGTGGGATATACAAGCTAAAAAGACAATATAAGCTTTAATTTTTTAAACACTCTTTTTGGAGATACAGAGGCTTCTATGAGAAGAAAAATTTTGTAGTTTTTTTAATAGAAAAAAGAGAAGAAAAACTTTGTAGTTTTTTTAATAGAAAAATGAGTAATAAAATAAATTCAAAACAAGAAGAGATTATAGAGTTTATAGGTAAAAATATAAGAATATAAATAAAAAACAAACTTAATATGCTGAGGTCTGGAAACCAAAGAAATGAAAAAAAAAGACCAAGTCAAACAAGACTTTTTAAATTTTTTTAAATTCATCCCTAAAAATTTCTTAATAACAGACAGCTTGAAAATTTAACTTTGCTTAGCAATACAATAACTAAATATTGACCAAGAAAAAACGAAAAAAAGTTCCAAACATTTAAACCAGACAAATCTTAGAACTAAGTACATTCAAATGTGCCAAAAACTCGAAAATCAGAGAGCATCATTGAGAATGAGTCTAATTTCATATTAAAGTACTCCAGTATCAATGGAAATTATATATTTTATAATAAAAATATAAAATCCAATCCCAATATTTAGGTGAAAACTAAAAAAAAAAATTTTAGTTGTCACCTTTTAAAACATAAAAACTGTTCAATTAATATTATGATAATGCAAGATTATTTCAGGTAATTTTTTAATTTTTTTTATTAACTAATATTTGCTAATAAAAAAATCTGTGTTTAATTTAACCTATTAAATTAAATTTCAGAGGTTTTTTTAATAAAAAAATTTAATTTTTTATTTCTTCTTTTTATGAAATAATTCTAAAAAAAAAATATCTTACAAACTCTGACTTAAAGGATTTTATCATTTGCAAAGTTATGTTTCATCAGTTTTTTTTAACATAGGCAAATTGTGTTAAGTAATATATAATTTTTTTATAATATATATTTAATATATATTAGATATATAATATATATTTAATATATATTTAATTATATTAGATATATAATATATATTTAATATATATTAGATATATATATATATATATATATATATATATATATATATATATTAGATATATATATTTAACATATATTAAATATATATTAAATACATATTTTTTTATAATATGTATTTAATATATATTAGATTTATATATATATAATATATATTATAAAAAATATCTTCAAAAAAGCACCAAACGATTGAAAGATTTAAAAGGAATCGTAAAAGATCAAAAAATAAAACAGTGGATACTTTATCTTAAGAGTTAAAAATGAAGAGATGTCAGATAATATTGATGCAAAATGTCAGATGTCAGATAATATTGATGCAAAAAAGATGTCAGACTGATGTAAACAATTTTATAAAAACTGTTGATCCTCTTAACTCTTTTGCACCCTTTCACGTTAATTTCGACCCAGTAGTAATAAATCATTAGATTTCATTATTTTAAAAAAAGAGGCACTATCTCTGTTTATTTATCTTTTTGAAAATATATAGTTATGGGGTGTAAATATGATGCCTTTTATCCCTAATATATCATTTTCAGTATAGTATGTATATTTTTACTGTTTACAAATATTATATATGCGAAAAGAGTGCAAAAGAGTTAAAGTAAATAAAGGTAAACAAATTGCAAACTATTTACGAATTTTGGTTGTGTTCTTTGATAAAATAAATTGTTATGTATTTATATTTAGTAAAAATAAAATCATAACATTAAAATATAACAGAATAAAAACAAATTTTTTTAAAACTAATATCATTAAGTTATGTTTAAATGTTCAACTAAATATTAACAACTAATTTCAAAGTATAAATAAACTTTAAAAATAAATTTAGCAGCTAAAAATATCTCATTTCTTTCAAAAAAATCTGAATATATTGTAATACAAAAACTTATTTTAGAAAAAGGGGAAAAAAAAGTAAAATCAATATTAGTTAAAAACTGAATGTAACTATGATATTAGGCCATTATTAACACTGCCAGAATATTCTGGTGTAATATCAATTTTATTTATTGAGTGTTGGATATTGTTGGCAGAATTTATGAGAGTTAAAAGGTTAAATAATGTTTTCTTAAAATAATAATCGTGGGGTTGTAGTGGATGGGTAGAGCGCTTACCTCATAAGCGAGAAGTTTCGATTTTGATTCCCACTATGTCCCTGGTAGGACCAAGCTACCAGCTGAGGCACAATCACATCTTGTGAAGATTTTGTAGAGAGGATTTTGTGGAGATAGTGCAATCTTTTTTACTCCAACAGACTCTATTTTCCTATCATAACTTGTAGATTTAGTTATGATTTCTACTATGCGCTGCATCACAGTGCTTTTAAATGACTTGGTTGTTTATCAACATCTATATTATACACAACTTTTGATAATAGTGCTGTGATTCTACTAGACCTGTGCAACTTCCATATTTAATTAGTGCTTTGAGTCTTATAAATTGTAAAATAAATTGTTGCAAATATTAACACTTGAATTGAATTTTTACTCATACCATAATTCTGTTAAATAATTTGTTAATCAAGATCATCAAAATTAATCATCACAGATAAATACACTTAAATTGTTTTTAGATAAATATAAACAGATAAATATATGTAAATTATTTTTAGTGCAAATGTTATTCTCTATTGCAATATCTGGATCACTGCAGCGCTATTTGCTTTTACTTTTAACACCTTAAGACTTGAAAATGGCTTCTTAAGTTATTGACTGAGGTTAAGCAACATTTATTTTTTACTATGCAAAGCTGGTATAGAACCTTTCAAGATTTTTTGCCATGAAAGTTTTGATTGCTAATATTATTGGAAAAAAGATTTTTTTAAATGGTGCTTGGGCTGCTGACTTATGTAATTTTTATCAACTACATAATGTGCTTGTGGAAGATATCTTATTTGAGCCAAACTATGCATGTGTAAAAGATTAAACTACAAAGCCCAACCTATGGTTCCAAAAAAATATGATAGATGTAACTTCTTTCAAACAACTTTTGCTTGTATTAAAAATCCTTAAATTAATATCCTTACCCTATCATGGATTTGGTCATTAAGATCCGCCCATTAACACAATTTATTTCAACTTACACTTTCCCCACAAGTTTTAAAGTTTTAGCTCCAATAGTTTATAGACTTTTGTTTGAGTCACGTATAATGTTATTTAATGAGTTCATAAAGTAATTAATTAATAAAATAGTTAAGGAGGTTATTACATGGAATATGGCATCCCATGTAATATCGAGCATCATTGAAGTTCTGTTCTTCCAATTTTCAGGTACATTATATTTGGGGAGGAACATTCAATCTAATAAAGCTAATTTTTTTTGTATGCATTACTGTTATTATTTTTTTTTAACATAAAATCCAGTTTTTTTTTCTTTGGTATAAGTTTCTGTTTCTTTGCATTCAAAAAAGTACCAAAGTACCATGTCACTTTGTAATTCATCTATTACTGATTAAAATAATTCTATCTAATCACATTACAAGCTTATGCTTATGCATCATTTTTAAAAACTTTAAAGCATACAAGTTATCAGCAACAACAACAAAAAATTATATAACCTATTATATTTTTGGAAAGTAGGATATTTCTTTAATAATGTTATGATAACTTGATTTTGTGAGAACATTTGACAAAAAAGTTATCAGATATAAATTAATCAGGTAGCAATATTGAAACATCATGAAGCGTTTGATTTCATTTACATGACTAAACCTAGATACACTTTATTGAAATTATATGCCTAATTAAAATTATTTTATTAATTTATTAAAATTATTTTTTATTAATTTAAATATTTTATATTTAATACTAGTTATAATAATATTAATAATAGCCTAATATTCATTAAATTAAAGGAGTATCTCCTACTTTTTATCTTTTGGCCCATTTCCAAGCCAAGCCAATTATGTTTAGATTTTCACACAAATGTATTGTTAGTGTCTTACGGATTATCTATCAAAAAATCCAAGCTTGATCAGCTTGGCTTCATAGTTATCTGGTAATTTTAAAATATTAGTTTAAACAATATTAAATATACAATTTTTTTTTTTGGAATTAAACTATTTTTAATATATATATATATATATATATATATATATATATATATATATATATATATATATATATATATATATATATATATATATATATATATATATATATATATACTTTTTTATGTTAGTTTCTTAAAATAACTTTAAAACAAAGAAAATCGTTGTAATTTTTTATGTTTAAGCCAAATAATAAAAAATAGTTTTTATATTTTTGATAATTTTTTTACGATTGAATTACTTAAATCAGCTCTAAATAAAATTCACTATTTAATAAAATTATTGATCTATAGTGGTTTGTATTATTGCTAAATATTGTGCAACATATTAAACAACTCTACAAATAAATAAAATGAATGATATAAAGAATCTTTGCAGTAGAACCATTAAAACTGATTTAACATAGTTCATTCAATTTAATATTTAAATATGTTACTTTCTCTGCATTTTTAATCAAGATATACTAATTGATGATTGGACAAATAGTTTTGTTACAAGTTGAACAATTAAATTAAGTTGTCTGAAAATCTTTTCAAAAATGAATAAACGCATTGCATTCTGTGTAATGAGTACTGAAAGTTAATGAATCATTTAATTTTAATCTCATAACAAGAAAAATCCGTATAGTTTTTATTCTATCCAATTCACAACTTTTAATTAGAATCTATATCAAGTATGTGAATTTATATTTGTATATCTTTCTTTTTCTCTTGTAATACACTTGATGTTTTTCGACAATAAAGATGAGCGCCTAATAGCGAACAAAAAATAATCAATTGTGCAAGTGTTTTAAGTGATAATACTTTGGTATAATTGAAACAGTGAAAAATAATATGCATCCATTTTAAAATTATCTCTATTTAACAAAATACAGCCACTCCATTTTGGTAAATGCTTTGAAATCTAAAAATGAAATCTAATCTAAAGTTCAATTCATTAATTGTTTTTGCAGATTTCTTGTTCAATATTAAATTACTTAATTCAGATTTAACTACATTCAATTCTGTATTAGATTTTTATATAAACTCATTGACATATATCGTTTCATATTTTTATTCTATTCCAATATTTCTTTTTGAGATTTGTATTTTGATTTATTTTAACTTAGTAAACAAAACATAAACCTTGAGCCTGGATTTAAAAGTTTTCCCAAATACTTTCCACAGCACAAATAAAAAATGATGCTAGCAATGTGACTACAACAACCACATGCTCTTAAACCAGAAAAACACCTACATGCCTAAAACAATACTGTTTCTGGACTATTGATACTTGGCAAATATTTAATAAATACCCAATACATAGTAGGATTTGAATGTCTTGACTGATTTTTAGCGGAAATCAAATTTTGAATTTGTTGAGTATTTTTATCAATCAAAATAACAAATTTTCCATTTTTTTATTTAAATGTTCTACTAAAAAACTGTAACTTTGCTTTCTAATAGCTACCAAGTGTGATATTTTTGCATATCATCGATAGAAAACTTTGGGAAATAATTTATATTTAATGCGCCAATTGGTTAAAATTGCATTTTACTTTTGTTTTTTGTATTCAAATGTATAATTCTAATTTATATTTTGAATTAATTTTATTTTTCATTAGAATCGCAATATCTTAACCATCTTTTTTGTTGGATATATGATTTAAATGAAAGCAGTTAATCAAAGAAGTAGCTATTCTAACATCAGTCATTATATGAGGAAGCATTGTATTCCTTATTTTTTCTCAAAATTTAAACAATTGTTTAAATCATGGGACTGAACTAGTTCTCTTAAATAGTTTTTTGTTTTTAAAACATTACTTAATAGAGTCATTAATAATTGCAGCAAAAGGTCCATAAACATCAATAATAAAATCATTTGCAGTGCATACTACAAAAGGCTAAACTAAATGTCTTTTTTTTTGTCCACTGTACTGTTTTCTTTGTAAAGAATTATTTGAACTTTATTCACCAAACAAGAACCATCGGCTATAATTGCTTTTCATCTTTTAAGTCAAACCTTTTAAGTCAAATCTTTGATCCTATCTATTTAATCTTTTCATGATCACTTTTAAATTTTTGCCAACAAAATCAGCATTAAGCAAGGCTTATCTAATAGCAATAATTCTAAATTTTCAAACAACATGACAAATCAAATTAACAAGAATTTTGTTCAAGATCAGTCTTTAACCAAAAGAGATAAACTGCAAGAGTTTTTTCTTTCGAGCGTTTCTATAAGTTTTTAATTCATTTGCCAAATATAGGTATTCATCGTTGGCAAAACCTGTATTTTGTAAACAAAACTCAGTTGTTACGTTATATATTACTAAAGAAATGTGTATACACATAAATGTTGAAAAAAGAGACAATATTTATTAACAGAGTTTTAGTGTTAGTAAAATTTTGTTAAATTGATTTTTGAATGCTTATTTTGCAAAAATAATTTGTTAAATCAACATATTTGCAATATTTTTTCAAACTTTTTTTGAAAACAAATTAAAATTTTTTTTTTGGAATTAAACTATTTTTAAGTTGCAAAGTGTAGTTTTATATTGTTTTCTAACATCCTTGAGCGTAAATACGTGTTTTAGAAAAAAATAATAATAAAAGAGCAAAAAATGTATGTAAGTTGGACACTTCTTTTTGAAAAAATTATTTGGTCGTACTTATATTATTATATATATTATTATTATATTAATAAATATTATCAATCTTGTATTAACAGCTAAGTCCACTAGAGAACGTTCTCTCTAGAGACAAATCTCAAAAAATAGAAGTTCTCTGATCATTTAATAAAAACAATCAAGAAAATATTTTGAGCAAATATTTGCAAACTTATAACTACATCTAAGTTAAATGTAATGCACATCTGAGATAAATTTAATACACATGATTGCCATTTATTTTAAAGGTTTTAACTAAATTTACTTTTAGTTATTTTTCAAACTAATATAAATTGTAATAAGAAATTACAACTAATTAAAAATAAAGTATTACGTACTATAATAAATTATAATTTTAGGACTTAACCTGTAAATCTATACAAGTTATTACACAAATATAAAAAAAAAAATTTTTTTTTTTGCATAAATTACATAGTTATTACATACAATTGGCTCCATATCAAAACGATGTAGCGTAAAAGGTGAAGTGGTCATCCAAACAGTGAATATTATCAAATCTATTAACAGCAACACAAACAATATTCCAAATAAATGCAAATCTCGTATACCCTATAACATATATGGAAATACAGATATACATGTATATATATAAATGCATCTTATATATATATATATATATATATATATATATATATATATATATATATATATATATATATATATATATATATATATATATATATGTATATATATATATATATATATATGTATATGTATATATATATATATATATATATATATATATATATATATATATATATATATATATATATATATATATATATATATATATATATATATATATATATATATATATATATATATATATATATATATATATATATAAAGGTCTCGAAATAAGCGCTGGACATCAGACATTGTACGGCACTTGCCCGGTAAAAAATGACATCTATTAGTTATTTTGTCCGACTCGTACTATATGTGCATTTATTTTCTAATCAATTTAGTTGTTCCAAAATTATTAATAAATTCAGTATCGTATATAAACTTTATTTTTTGAACTTTTTATTTTTTATACAAAACAAAATTGGAGTTTTTTTTTTTTAGTTATTTCTTTTTTTAAAAGACGGCAAAAGATTTTTAAATATTTTTTTTTTTTTTTTTATTTGCATTCACTCCCAACAAGGCTGCAAGCAACCACTATTAAGTTGGGAGTTACTAGGAAAAAAAAAAGAACAGAGTTATAGAGCAAGGAAACGGTTGACAGAAGACTTGAAAAGTTGAAGGTTGTATGAGTCAGGAAAACATGAAGATGGGAGAGAGTTCCAAAGGATTGAAGTGCGGGGAAAAAAACTAGATGAATAAAAGTTTTGATAGTATTTTTAGAAAAGAGAAAGAGATGCAACTTTACGACGATGGGAAAGAGGTTGAAGCTTAGCAGATAGTCCAGGTCCAACAACATTTACAATGCGTTTTTGGACCTTGTCAAGAAGAGAAAGTGAATCGTTAGAAGAATAAGCCAAAATATGACAACAGTATTCCATACAGAGACGAATAAGAGATTTGTAGAGGTAGAGAATGGAATCAGAAGTAAGGAAATGGCGAGCACGATAAAGAGAAGCAACCTTAGCAGAAGCTAATTTAGCAATCGATTGTATATATGTTTTCCATAAAAGGTCAGTAGTAAGCGATAATCCAAGAAGACGTAAAGAGGACGACTCAGTAAGAGGATTGCCATTCATTAATATAGGAATGTTGACCATATTACGATAGTTGTTTGCAGTAAACAACTGGGTTTTGTTAGAGTTGAAATTCACAAGCCACTGTGAACCCCAATCTGTTACTGAAGTGAGATCGAATTCAATATCAGCTGCTTGTTCTAGGCAATCGAAAAGAGAAGACTTTTTGTCAAGACAAGAGTATAAAGTTGAGTCATCAGCAAAAAGAGCTACTTTAGATGAAAGGTTGTCAGGAAGATCGTTTATGTAGATAAGAAACAAAACAGGGCTCAGGATGGAACCTTGGGGAACCCCAGAAGTTACTGGAAATAAAGAAGAGTGTTGGCCTTCAAGGATGACTTTAATAAACCGGTTAGAAAGAAATGATTTGATAATCTCAAAAACTTTCCCAGAAACACCATATGAAGCAAGCTTATGGAGTAGACCAGCATGCCAAAACTTTGTCAAAAGCTTTAGATATGTGGAGAGCAATAGCCCTAGCCTCACCGCCTCCATCTAATGCACGATAAAATCTTTCAGTTACAGCAGTTAGCAAGTCAGTCATAGAGCGAGAGGATTGAAAACCGTATTGATTGTCTGACAGTAGTTTATTTGACTCAAGATGAGATGTGAGGAATTTGTTGATCAAAGACTCAAAGACCTTGCTAATAACAGAAAAAAAGACTGATCGGACGATAATTGGAGGGGTCAGAATTTTCTCCAGAGTTTTTGAATATTGGAACCACAGATGCCATTTTCCAACAAGCAGGAAAACAAGACTCAGTCAAACACTTGTTAAATAGTTTAGAGAGAATTGAAGAAAGTTCTGGAGAACAATTCTGCAAGACTGTGACAGGAATATTGTCTGGACCACAAGCTGTAGACGAGTTTAATTAAGATATGACTTTAGCAACAGAAGCCGGAGTGATTTGAATGTCTAACAATGGGTCAACCTGTTTGACTGGAATGGAAGGAAGAGAATGTCCATAAGATTCAAGAGTGGGATTAGAAGAAAAGTTCTTTGCAAATAGTTCTGCCTTATCCTTGGGAGAGGTAATAAGATCAGTCCCATGAATAAGAGATGGAATGTTAGATCTACCCTTGTTAATAATGCTGTTGAAAATTTTCCAAAAGTCTTTAGAGCCTAACTTCTGTGATAAGATGCGAGATTTAGTGAACTGAGAATAATGGAGTTTAGCATCAGAAAGCACCTTTTTACATCGATTTCTTGCAATAATAAATAGCCGTTTGTTCTCAAGAGAGTTGTTCTTTTGAAAAAGATGAAAAAAATGATTACGATTGGATATAGCAGCCGCACAAGAAGGAGAAAACCATGGAGTAGAATGACGCTTGACTTGAAACCTACGCAAAGGAATAAAAGCTTCCATTCCAGCCTGAATCCAGGAGGTTATGTAGGAGGCGCATTTGTCAGCTGAGAGAGAAAAAACATCAGCCCAAGGAACATCACGAAGAAAATCACGAAAGGAATCCCAGTCAGCTTTAGGGTAGTAGTAGGTGGTGTGATGATAAGGTGAGCCCAAAAAAGAAGTACGAGAAGAAAGATTTATAGAGATCATGGTCAGAACCACCTAAGGGAGAAAAGGGAGAAACTGAACATAAGCTAGGGTCAGAGACAAGACATAAGTCAAGGAGTGAAGGTAAATGATTAGGGTTGTCAGGAAAACGAGTCACAAAGTTAACTATCTGAGTAAGAGATTGAGAAACGCAGAAGTTAAAGGCTTTAGTGCCAGCAGGATCAGTGGTGTTAGAGCCAAGCCATTCAGTGTGATGGGCATTAAAATCACCAAAGACTTTAGGGGTAAGCAAATATAATACATTTTTTTGAATTTTTTTGACTTTAGGGGTAAGCAAATATAATACATTTTTTTGAATTAAGTAGCACAGTTTTTATTATTTATATTAAAACGTTGCAATTTGTTATGAATTTAAATTTATAATTTAGTATTTATTTAATTTTTTATCCGGTGGTTTTTATATATTTCAAACAAATATTTTAGCTTTTAAAACCCCTTTTAAATTTATTTCATAAAAAAATTTTATAAAAATTTTAACGTTATAATTATTTAAATGCTTATAGAAACTTATAGTACTTTTTATTACACTATTAAATTTAAGTTGTTACATAACTTTTGTTGTTGCGCTAAAAATTTTTGCTCTTAAAAGTGTTATAAAAGTTATCTTAAAAATCTTTAAAGTTTATAAAATTAATCCTAGAAAAAGTTTGAAAAGATTTATAAAAAAATACATATTTAATAATACATATGTGATTACGTATTATTATACGTAATATAATATTATTTTATAATCTAAATAAAATGGGTTTATTGTAGTATTATAATCAATTTGTTACTTTATTAATAAAGTAATATGTTAACTTAATAGTTTATGTATTTAAAAATTTTGTATTTTTATTATACATTTTTATTATATATTTAATTATGTATTTATTAATTACATAGTTTATTTGTTTAATATACTTACATAATGACTGATGTATTAAATAATTTACAAAGCATTTTGCATAGTATAGTAATTTTAAAAAACATAATATAAATATATTTTCCTTTTCAAATTTTAGTTTTTTGAGTTTAGATTTTTTCTTTTTCTTCAAGTTTTTCTTTGTGTTATATAATTTATCTTACAAATTGCATGGTCAAGTTGTAAAAACAAAATATTTTATGCATGGTCAGAAATGGTGTTCGATCGCACTTCTTTATTTTTTATAGGAAATGTACTTTTTTATAAATGTATTTTTTATAGGAAATTGAGTCTTTATCGGACAAATTGTACAGTACAAAAAAGTTTGTTATTTCGAGCCCTATATTTATATACATATATATATATATATATATATATATACATATATATATATATATATATATATATATATATATATATATATATATATATATATATATATATGTATATATACATATATATATATATATATATATATATATATATATATATATATATATATATATATATATATATATATATATATATATATATATATATATATATATATATATATATATATATATATATATATATATAAGGGTGGCCCTTTGAAATAAAAATTTTGAAATCATCTCCTGGCACCTTTCAAATCTGTGCCAATTATGAAAAAAAAAGATCTATGCAAAAAAACATTGCAATTAGGTTATATCTAGGTTTGGCACTTAAGCCTTGAAGTTTCTACTCACAGGATAATTTTGGTTTTATCACTTATTTTCAGTTTTTGGCAGCTTAACGACTGTTTAACTTTTTTTTAGATAAAAAATGAAAATAAAAATAATAACTGCTATTAGTTAGTCATAAAACAAAATGTAAATTTAAGTTGAAATTCTAAACTTTGAACTTTCATAGTCTGAAGCATTGATACAATTATTTCAGAGTGAGATTTTACTTAATACTGTTTGCTACAAAAAAAAATTTTGTGCAATGTGGAAATTGTCTGCAATATTCACTGACAATTTGAAAAAAAACTAAATTTGATCTACGCCTTTGGTTAATTTTTAATTAAAATCCTGGATAAGGGCACCTTGCTCAGCCCTATTGTTGATGACAGGAAGACTTTTTATTACATGTAATGCTCAGTGGTAGGCTTCATCTTCTTCCCACTGAGAAGGATCTTTAGAAATCAAGAACTCAGGAAGTTTTAGATACTGGAACAGTTTTTTAGAATTTGTTGTGCAGAACTATTTCAGACCTTGCTTGCCAAGAAACGCATCAAATTTTAAGAATGGTGTTTTTGATGGATGATCTGGGGCTACTTCTTCCATGGCAGCAAGCATCAGCCTCTTGGAATCATGCTGTATTCTAGTCTTAATAGGGCTAATCCAAATA